ACACTCGCACTCCGATCGGGCATAAATCGGGCCATTAAAATCGAGTGCCGGGCAATCAATTGGGACCCACTGGATCGGAACCATGTGCGTGGGCCCCATTTTTATAATTGCCCTAGTGATATAACGAATTCCTTTTAAAGTGTCCGAATGCCACAGATTACTCGGAAAATCAAACGAGTCATTGCACATATAAATCCGTTCGGTTTGTATCTACGTGCTGATTTGTCACTGAGAATTTTCCTCAACACCCCGTATTTTTGTCTAAATGGGCCTGTACAGGGTGTCCCGCGAGCACATGCTCAATTTACGAAGAAAAAGGTCTGTGTTCCACAAAAAAATTGTGTTCTTCGAAATGCCAGAGGAGCTCTGGAGTCTCTTGGCACAAAAGTAAGTTCAGAAGTTCAACCTTAATCCTCTTTGAAAATTTTTGTTCTCGTTGTACAATATTGGTTTTGGCGCAAAACTATATCTGTTCTCGTGCAAACTGACGATTTGGGACATTCATTAACTGTTAATTAAATGTGAATAAACCGCTTAAAAATTCAGTTGAGCAGGAAGAGGAAGGCTTTTAAGTACTGCAACACACATATTTGGGGATTTAAGATAAGAAGAGACTGTGACCTGCTTACTCATGGAGAAGATGTTTTACCTCAAAATTTTCCTGCTCGTTTCAACAACGGCGTCTTTTTTGTTTGGCGCTTTCATTTCGAATAAAGATGATGTTTTACAAAGAATCCAATCAAAAGGTGTGTTTTGCTTACATTCACAGTGGAGCAGAAGACAGAGGAGCACAATCAGGAACTTAATTTGGCTAGAAATTTTCGAAAATGCTCGAGTCTCTCAGTCATGCTCCGAGCAAATTATCTGGAGATTTCAGTCGTTTCTACTTCAGTTTATAACCGACGTACTTCTGAGTCTATACCCAAAGTTGGGCTTCTTGACGTTGTTTAACTGGGCACAAAAAGTGTTTTTTCTACCCGTAGTATTTGGCGTTTTTGCGCCCCTGAATCTACACTGAATCTTGAGTCTCTTGGCGCAGTGAGGTCAAAGTTGTCTTTTGAACCCGAAAATTGTTGCTTTGCTCAAAATATTCTTTAGCTTCCTGATACTTTTTTCCATGATTAATGCCTGCTGCAAAACGGTATTTTTGTGTCACAATTTCCACTTAAAACTCGACATCTTAGCTCTATATTTTAATATTTTGGGGAAACATGCATGAAAACCCAGCAGATTAAAGAGCGGCGCGCCGCAAAATAAAGCAAAAACAACTCGTCACTAAACAATGCAAATTCCGAAAATTAGCGAACAAGTGACTTCATCAAAGTCGCTTATAAAGACAGCATTCTCGGAAGCATCGTTGTCAGCGCACTTATGGGTGTTTACGGCGATTATCCGCAAAATTACAGCCATGAGCGCTTATTTATTGCAACCACACATGGTAAATTGCTGAGCGATGAGCCAAACCATCACTGTGAGAGTACAGAACCGGTTTGGGCCCGTTCGACAGGGGGTAGCTGGCCCCCCTTTGAAACCGAACTGGTTCCAGCCCACCTAAATGGCCCTTTACGAGCGTAAAAGCTAAAACAGAAGGGTGGAAAAAATCGTTGCAATTCACTTGTGCCTGTTTGCGCCCATAAATCGCTGGGACAAGTTGCAAAATGGCATCGGCGATGAGAAACTTGACCATGTTTAGGGTCATCATTTTCGAGACGAGTTCTTCCAGTTTTCATAGAAAGACAATAACCCGTTGGATAATGGTCCATTACGAAATCGTGCCCGGCATGGGCATGAGGAAAAGTTCTTTGTCCGGCCAATTTCAATTAAGCGACAGCCGGCGGCCAAACAGCAAAACTTACTTATTGGATTTGTTAATTAACACATTATCAATTATCGCCCGATACATTATAGGCCATTACGTGTATCGATTCAATCGACACATGATTTATCGATTTGCGTCTCGCTTCTAATAGAAATTCAGATCGCGATCTTCGCCAACAAAGTGGTCTTGATGGTGCTTTGTCTGCCATTATGTATGTAAATCATTAATAGCTTATTTTCAATCAATGAATTAAATTGATATGCAGAGAAAGTCTACTGGTTTGGTTCCATACAATTTTCTTCATTGATTTTCTCAGTTCAAATTAACCAAGTGGATGAAGAGACTGATTCTGAAAGCCAAATAAAAACGATTAAACAGCCAATTGACTACAAAACACAAGAACCGCTCTTAGTTTTTGCTTCCAAATTTTTAAACCGATTGGTACGCAAAGCTCTAATTAGCATTGGAGGATAGTGCCTTAAATTATGCTTTTTTTAGTCCAAACCTCATTCAAGAATTATTTCTGGTTTTCACGCAAATTGCGAAAATTCTGAAGAAATTTGGATCTTAAGAAGAACCGTCTTTGGTTTTTCCTTCAAATTTTGAAAGCCGAAAGGGCTGCAAAGCTCTAGTTGCCATAGGGGGAAAAGGCCTTAAATTAAGCTTTTTTTTAGTCCAAACCTCATTCAAGAATTATTTCTGGTTTTCACGCAAATTACGAAAATTCTGAAGACATTTGGATCTTAAGAACCGTCCTTAGTTTTTGCCTCAAATTTTGAAAATAAAAAGGGCTACAAATGTCTAGTTGCCATAGGCGGATAAACCCTGAAATTACGTTTTTTTTAGTCCAAACCTCATTCACAAATTATTTCTGGTTTTCACGCAAATTGCGAAAATTCTGAAGAAATTTTGATCTTAAGAACCGCCCTTAGTTTTTGCCTCAAATTTTGAAAACCAAAAGGGCTGCAAATGTCTAGTTGCCATAAGGGGATAAAGCCTTAAATTACGCTCTTTTTTAGTCCAAACCTCAATCAAGAATGATTTCTGGTTTTCACGCAAATTGCGAAAATTCTAAAGAAATTTGGATCTTAAGAACCGTCCTTAATTTTTGCCTCAAATTTTGAAAACCAAAAGGGCTGCAAATATCTAGTTGCCATAAGGGGATAAAGCCTTAAATTACGCT